GTGCTAACGCCCATTGTGATGGACACCTTTTACGAGGTGCCGGACCTCAGTTCGAGCTGTGCAAGTGCACTGATGGCAATGGGCACCGCTGCTGAGACCGAGTTTTGGGCAAGTCAAAGTGAGTTGTACTTTTTGTTTTTTGATAACAATTTTAATTGGTTTGATGTGCTTTTGCCTTCTAAATGGCCAGTGATTGAATCCATTGGCCGATTTCCCGTTGGCTTACTATCAGGCACATCAGCTTCATTTGGAGACTTTGACCAGTGTCTGGCGGTAAAAGTGCTTGATGATGATCAGGAGAAAATTAAATTGCAGGGAAAATACTGCCTAGTGGAGTTCAGCTATCCGGTTCCATCATTAAAGCCTGGAGAGCGACTGCGTTTTAACGATGACACACCGTTTGCACTGCTAAAGTCCACCCTAGCTAATCAAACGGATATTAAAATGAGTCGAGATATTGAAACGCTTATTCGTCGACTAGTTTACTTTTCATACACGACTAAAATTTATAATGGAATTTGCATTCCAAATGCATGCATGGGCGCCGATATAGAGGTTTTGATAAGAAACGGTAAGTAATATTTCTTGTATTCTTTTTGTTTGTATAAACCACCCTTTTTAGCAATTGGCAATTTTATGCAACTGAACGTCACCAACTGCATTGTCAAAAAACACTTAAATTTAAAGGAAATAAAACATCTGAGCACAGTGCAGCTGATGGCTAAATATGCAGTCGATTTTGTCAACGGCTTAGATCAATTTCAACTTGTTTCGTTGTGAGTATAACCTTTTTTCTACTGTTAAACATTTCAGTTTTTATTTGTTTATCTTATTTCAGAATAATTTACGGCATTTGCAGCTCTCTNCAACGGCTTAGATCAATTTCAACTTGTTTCGTTGTGAGTATAACCTTTTTTCTACTGTTAAACATTTCAGTTTTTATTTGTTTATCTTATTTCAGAATAATTTACGGCATTTGCAGCTCTCTAGTAGCATTAGCATCAATTCTGGATTGGTTCGTCCTTCCGCCAAGTGAGGGTAGAAAGACAAGTGCAGTGTAAGCCTGTGTCAGGGTGAATGGCAGAATAATTGACTTTGATTTACTCTGATTTGCAGTACAATCTACGCGCAGACCTTCTCAGTGCGGTGCAACTGGAACCGCCTGTTCACAGTGAGCAGCACACAAAAGTACAGTCGATCGAATCCTGATTTACGCTTCATCAATGGAATTCGCGTCCTCACTATGCTCTGGATTGTCTTTATTCACGTCTCCATTCTCGGAACGCTCTTCGCTCCTATGATAGTCTGTGAGTTCCACTTTGTTTTACTTTTTTTTCATTTCTAACAAAATGCCATTGCTCTGTCACAGATCGTTACGAAGAGGAAGCTCGACCGTTTGGCCGCTCTCTGGTGATGCAGTTCATCTACAATGGCTATGCGTCAGTAGAAGGTAGGTAGTAGTACTCTTAACACCCTGACACATCTCGTCTACTAATACAAATGTGTAGTCTTTTTCTTTATCAGCGGCTTTGTGCTGGTCTTTCTGACACTCCGACAACGAGAACGCAAAGCAGGTGGTGCCAGTCATAAGGTGCTTTATGTGCCGCCGCTGGCACTGTACGCCGGCATCCGGGCCATTCGACTGCTCATTCCCATGATCGGCATTCTCTCGCTGCACTTTCTCTGGCCACTGCTCGGCGATGGGCCAGTGTACGAGAAGTTCACCGGTCAACTGCTGAACGCCTGTCGGACGAACTGGTGGAAGAATCTGCTGCTGGTGAACAACTACGATCAGACGCCTGACCTGTGCCTGGTGCACACCTGGTTTCTCAGTGCCGACTTTCAGCTGCACCTCATCGCCTACCCGCTGGTGGTCCTCTTTTCACTCAGCGAGACACTGGGCATTCTCCTTAACCTGGCGCTCATTCTGGCCGGGGCAGTCGTTCCTGCCATACTTCACTACCAACGCCACGCTCCGGCCACACTCTCTGCTTTCATTGAAGTCCTGTCAAGGCACTTCTTCGAAGACATGAAGCATCTCTACTATCCGGTTCACATTCACCTGTCATCCTACTTTGTCGGCTTCCTGTTGGGTTATCTTTTGCTGAAAAGCATAAAAAAGAACAGGGATGCCGTTAGGAGACATTCTAAAATGGCGAAATCGACTTTTTCTTTTCAAAAGAAAAACTGTATACTCTTAATTTTTACATTTATGTTTGGTGCCATTGCTGTGATATCGGTTTTCGGTGCTTACGCGTGGTGCCGCGAAGAAGGGCCCCTCGTTGTCAGTGAGAAGGCTGGCTCCTTTTACTTTGGTTTTCACAGATTAGCTTTCATCTTATTGCCAGTTTGGATTGTCTGGTTATGCATTCGCTACCCTAAAAGTACGTTATCATGTTGACATTTGCGGGAAACACACTACAAATACTTTATTGTAGATGCCATTGCGCGAATTTTGTCTACACCGCCGACTCAAGTTCTAAGCCGCCTCTCCTTCAGCGTCTATCTCGTGCACATTCTCGTAGTCTGGTACTACATTCTCACAACTAGATCCCTCATTCGCTTTCGACTACCAGATCTGGTACGGTTTTGCAGTCATTTGTGCTTAATTCACTGTCGTAATTTTCTTCTCATTTTCAGCTGTTTATCACCGGTGGCGTCCTTCTCTACTCACTTCCATTAGCTCTATCATTTCATTTGATTTTCGAAGCCCCATGGAGCGGTCTGCTAAAGCACTGTCAGCAAGCAATTGCCGCCGAACCAAAGTCAGCCAAAGGAAGGGACGAGGAGACGGAGATCAATCATGGCAGTGATTACGAGCTGTACATTGGCCAGTGCAGGTGCCGGACTGCCAGTGAACATGCGCTTGATTGTCGACAGCACAAATTTGGCAAAAATGGCCAGACACTATCTCATTTGACAATTCAGTAGTGCGATCAAAGCAATAAATCATTTATGCATTCTAGCACAATTCAAATGCGATCCATTTTAATTGTGGGCAAAAGTGAAAAACTAAAAAAAAATCGTAACACTGTTTTTGAACATCACAAAAACTGGCGCTCTCGAGTTGAGCGTGACTCTCTCTCTCTCCAGGGTCGTGACCAGCTTCATTCACTTGACTCGAAAGCGTGTCTCCTGATTCATTCGGTCATTCTTCGTATCTTCAAGTGATTATCTAATCTTAACAAGTCGCCGATATGAAGGACCTAGCGAAGGACAAAGCAAAGGACAAAGCAAAGGACCGAAAGCGCAAGAAGGAAACCGTGGCGAAGAAGCGAACGTCTCAAGAAAGCTATAAAAGTTTCTTTCAAGATGATGATGACTACGGCCGTATTAATCGTCGTTATTATTTTAAGAAATCAATTGAATATTCTGAATTCCGTAAAAAGAATAACGAAGCAGTGAAACGTAGTCGAATAGCTAGTAAGAAGGACTCTAAACTAAAGGAAAAGCAACTTGAAGAATTGAAAAAGTATCATGACCACTTACAGAAGAAAATAGCTACGACTGAACTTGTTGTTTCCGCTCTTGAAGACATTGTTGTAAGCCACCAAGGCAAATGATGTTTAAAGAAATTCTTTTATATAAATGTAATGTTTAATTTTGATTTACTGAATAAACATTAATATTTTCCGTTATCTGAGTGGACAAACAACCACAGAAAAGTTTGCGAAAATGAGTCATTATTTATCAGCATACTGGTCACAGATAGGAGGCCAATGTGAAAGTTGGCCCTTTTCATCGGCTGAATCAGCAAGGCTGATAAGGAACCAGACTTGACAAAGTGCGCTGTACGATTATCAGGCGCCTTAAAAGCAGCAGTAGCTCTGTTGCTTTTTCTCTTGTAGTCTTTGGCTAAAGTCGTGTCGGCTTTCAATCACCAAACTCGCTTCACTTTGGTCTGTCACTTTTGCGTCAACATTTCTTTTGTAACAATTTGTAACATTCATAGTATTCTTTTCTTAGATCGGAACACATCTTCTAAAAATGGCCTTCAAGTTTTACCTGCTCACCGGAGTGCTGCTGCTGGCCAGTGCTGCCTTTATCCACGGCTCGTTCCTTGAGGATTTGGGTGAAATATTCAATACTCTAACTCAGATTACCTGCCCTGAAAAGCATCTCAAAGCAATTGATAACTGCCACAGTTTGGTGTATCCCTTCTACCAACTTCAAGCGGACTTTGAAAATGATAATCAAAAGATGAAGTGTTGCTCTCGACTTGCTGCTTTGGATTGCGTGGGCTTTGTCACTCGCATGTACTGTGGCGAATCGACTGGCAACATCTATGAGTTTACCACCAAGTTCATTGATCGAATCGCTTCCGGCGGAGAATGCAGTGACTTTGCCTCGGTCGCTAACTGCACAAGCCCTTTCTTAATGTTTTTTCTCATCATCTTTGTCGTCCTCATCATTAGCGCCATTTTGAAGTGCCTTGTGGTCTGCATCTGTGGCGCCCGTCGCCACTGAAGACTCCAGTCTTACAACTGAAAGGAATTTCACTTTTCACATTTGTCTCTTTTTGCGCTCATTTCCTTTGGTATTTTCAACCTGTAATTTGATTAAATCGCGTACTTTACAATAAATCACGTGAAACAGGTGCTTCTTAAAAAGCGAGTGTATGTCTTTTACGATTGCCCCTTTTCCAGAAGAAAGCAGCTGGCTTCACAGTTTTTTCAGACACCGCTTGTTTACATTTCTCTCGACGCAAAACATTTTTATTTCAAAGAATGACAGCAGAAGAAACGGGCAAAAAGATCATTGAAACCTCTGTCAATGTTAAAACACATGCAATGTCTAAGTTCAAAAGTGGTCCACTGTCTCGGAACATCGATTGGACGATAAATCTGGAAAACATTCTGTTTAAAGCGATGTCAAGAAAGCGGCCAGTTTGGGCAATAGCTCACTTTTCAATGGCATCCATCTTGAAGATTTTCAACGCCAACTCAGGACTGAATCTCTCTGCCGATGATATTTGGGAAAAGCTCAACACCCTGTACAAAATGGACGCTATCAATCAAAAGCAGGTGAAGGATCTACCAAAGTCATTTCGCGAGCGCAAAGATTTTGATTTGACAACCCACCCGCAGCTTAAAAAGAAAATCGAACCGCTCAGTCCAACAGACTTAAAGGAACAAGTCAAAACTGATGTACCTGTAGTCGTTGAAAGTGTTCCACCTACAAAACCAACCAAAAAGGCTGTTGTCCGTCGTCCCAGAAAGCCGAAAGTTCCTGTTTCAGTTCCGCCGGCTGTCATAAATAAGCCTCGTAAAGTAACTCTGGAACATGATTGTATTGCCATTCCAGTGAAGTCTCGTAAATCTCGCAAAACTGAAGTTAAGCCAAAGCCTGTTCCTATTCTCAGCTCGAAAGCTACTGCTGTTCAAAAGAAACCAAATAGAATTCGAAAAACCATTTTTAAGATAATTCCTATTCCCGTGCCTGCCAAATCCATACCAGCCAAATCTATATCGGACAAATCTATACCTGCCAAATCCTTACCTGCCAAACCCATTATTGCCAAACCCATTCCTGCCAAACCCATTCCTGCCAAACCCATTCCTGCTAAACCCATTCTTGCCAAACCCATTCCTGCTAAACCCATTCTTGCCAAACCCATTCTTGTCAGTTCAATTCCTGATTCTACTACTACTACTAGGAAAAGGGGCCGGCCTATTAAAAAACCAACTCTTCCTGAAGCATTGTCACCTCCACCAAGACCTGCAAAGAAACGACGAGTCAAGGTAACCATTACCAAATAATTAATTTTTCATTCCAAAGCTACTGTATATTATTATTTTCTGTGTGAGTTGCAAAACGTTACTACTTTCTGTATGCAGTATCGCCCACTAGGCCACTATAAATATAACTTTACGGTGATTTCAGGATAGAGCTCTAGTGTTCAGTTTCATATTTTTCCTATCCTTCTTCCCTAAAAAATTGTTTTTCCTATTTATCAACCTATTTGATTGAAATAGCAATTTCCCAAATTAAAATTAAAATGATCTTTATCGCAAAGCGGCACTCGTTTTGCCATATTAATGCAAGTTAGTGCTCAAGGCTGTATAAATCAACTCAATACATCTTGTTGACAATTTCACATGAGAGAGAGAGAGAGAGAGAGAGAGAGAGAGAGAGAGAGAGAGAGAGAGAGAGTAATTACTGTCAACTTGTGATCCATTCAGATGCAAACGGAAGCTATGAATTAAATAGTTTTATTTGGTTGACAAATCAAAAATTATTTTATTTTAATTTTCTGTAGGCGATTAGCTGCACTGCGTTTGTGTTGATCGAAACTGAACAGTCGAATAACCGGGGACACTTTCAGTTTAGTGGTCGCCCCTGTTCACACACAGATCAATAGAGTGGATGATGACAAAGAGGAGAAAGGCGGCGGGAAAGGCCACTCGGGAGAAGATGTCCATCTTGTGGCAGTTGATTTTCTTCATCACCTGAACCATCTTGTACTGGCGCGACTCGCTGCTGATGTTCTCCTGCTTGGCGAGGTAGTTGACGGTGGCCATCTCGAGGAGGGCGGCAAAGACAAAGGTCAGCGAGACGCCCGTCCACACGTCAATGCGCTTGGTGTAGCTGACCGAGGGCATGGAGCTGTTCTTGTAGGTCACCAGACAGGCCATGGTCAGCAGCGAGCCGAGGACGATGATCGTCCGCGCAGTCAGGTCCTTCTTGATGTCCATCCAGAAGCCAATCCAGCTAACGAGTACCTGTGTGTTGTCAAGAGTTGTCGCAGAGTTGTCAAACGTTAGGAAAAGGCATATATTAGTGTTTAGTTGGTAATGGACGCACCAGCATCAGACAGGGAATGTACATTTGCATCAGGTAGTAGTTGATTTCCCGTTTTACGGTGAAAGCTGCTTTCAAGCAGCTGTATTCTCCTGCATTCAAACGGTTCAAGTGTGAGTTAGCAAGTTGGTATGAAAGCATAGTTCCAAATAGCTCGAATTACCTGTGTTAGTTTTGCTCGTGCAATAACTAGGAGTGAACTCCGTTAGAGTAAATCTGGGCAAGTTTATATCTTTTGTCACTTGAACTGGGTCTTTTTCCTTCCACTGGTAGTCAACATCTTCAGTTGTGTAGCCATCTGCAAAAATGTCAATGTCATTGCCTGCATCGAAGTGAGCTCACTCGTTGAAGTCATCACACTTACAGCTTGCCAATTGAATTTGGCACACTTGTTTGTCTGCTGGATAGTACTTCAGGTCCATTGGACAGGCCAAGACGAGACTTATTCGAGTTGAGTAAAGTACGGCTCCATCAGGGTAAATACGGACCAGCTGATTTGGAGTGAGGATGTTATGGAAATGACCTTTTTTCTCATTTTTGAAAAAGGTATCTGGTTTCCAAATTTGGTTTGCGCCATCCACCAAATTAATGTAGCTGATTTGCCCATTGTAGTCGTTGAACTTTAGACGATCATCAGTCCACTTTTGTCGGAATGTCAGCTGCACTGACCACTCGTGTGCCACGTCGTCGATCTTTTCTATGTTCCGCAAAAGCATATTTACCTGTATTTTCACTGGTTTGCCTGGTCATTTGTAAAAGAAAGGGTCATCATTTTAGTATTTGAAAGCACTTTATACTGACTTTCGTAGTCTGTCTCATTGGCACTGTTGGGGCGAATGCGCTTGTCATAGGACGACAAGAGGTCGTCCAAAATCTTCTTTGTCGCATCTCGGAATCGTTTCTGGCCCTGGCCACTGCAGAAGAGAATTTTTTTAATTAATGTCATCTCAAACTTTACAAACTCAAACTGAAGCTTACAGTTCTGAGCATCCCAGGAGGAGCAGTGCCAAAAAAAGAAAGTGCGCAATTTTCCCCATTGTCCAGTGAAAAAATAAAAGAAGGTAATAATTCGCAAGTGTTCAACGCTTCTGACTTGCACTCGCTCTCATCGAACAATAAACACTTTGTCCTGTGGCGCCTGCTTTTAGTAGTGTGGTAATGGTAGCCTCTTCTGCACTATGGTAGCCTCTTCAGTATTCCCTCAATCTCAATGACAGATAGTTACCACCATCATCACCACCATCATCACCACTACCAATCAAGGCCACTTGTAGCACTTGACTGCACTGGTGACCATTGGAATTGCAGCCAGCGAGGAGACAGCTTCAAAACTGCTAAGCATCACGAGGCGAGTGCATCACAGTGCACACTTTCAACAGCAGCAGCAACGACTACGACGACAACAGGAACCTGTTTGTTGGGCAAAGCAGTGGACTGTGAAGCTGGGCGTAAGGCTGACGTAAGTGAACCCAATTGAAGGAAACCCTCACTTAATTGTTATTAATGGCACCATTGTCAAAGACGGGTGAAGGTGAAATTAATATCCTTTTTTCAGCTGTTTTGGACTGCTTTAATTGAACAATTTGGATTAGCAGCACATACACACACACACGCCAATTCTTCAAACCAGTCAAATAACTTTCACTGAAAGAAGAAAATCACCGACAGGGGGTATCTCCTTTACATCCTTGACAATGCATGAAAATGTAATAAAAATTGTCAACGACTACTGTATTATTTATTGCCAAGAAAGGATCAATTTCAGAGGCAAAAATAACAAAAGGTCATTTTTCTTNCAAATAACTTTCACTGAAAGAAGAAAATCACCGACAGGGGGTATCTCCTTCACATCTTTGACAATGCATATTTGGGTGCATAAAAATGTAATAAAAATTGTCAAAGACTACTGTATTATTTATTGCCAAGAAAGGATCAATTTCAGAGGCAAAAATAACAAAAGGTCATTTTTCTTTGTTTTTCTATTTTGGCATGAATTACACCGAGCGTCGATGCACTGATCGACTATTTATAAACTCACTTTCTCTGCCAGAATCTCTCTAACAGAGAAAGCAGAGACTTTTTGTGTTCTGCGGTAACAGCTCAAGGTGTCATTTGTTTTGCTTGTCAGAGTTGTTTTCTGTCATCACTTAGAGTCACAAATGGCTTGTTCTAAATACTCAAAGCTCTTGTAAGTAATTTTGTGCATTTGATGTCTTTCAAACGCTTATTCCGTTAACAGATTCCATGGTCTTTTGATAGTAGGCGTTGGCTTTCTAATATACCACTACAAAGATGATTTGTCGAAGCTTAAACTGCCCTTGCCGTGTCACCCAAAGAAAACGTCCATACTAGAAAACCTGTCAGTTAACAGTTTTTAGATACAAAACAATCTAAATCAAAGTTTTTAATTAGTTAGAAAAAAATGCGTTTATTGTATAGATAAAACTTGTAAAAATTGTAAATAAACTCGACAGGTCTACAGTTGTGTGTCATGTTTTAGCAGCAGTTAGGAGACGTTGAAGCCATCGATGTTAGTGGTGCTGCTGACGGCTTGCCCAGGGTGCATCGCCTGCAGCTGCACTGGTTGCAGTGTCGTCGGTCGGGGGACTACCTGCTGGTGCCGGGGAAGGCCAAGGTAGCTCGCCAGGTACGTTGAGTTGTTCAGCGACTGGGGCTGAATTTGGTGTATAGGCTGCAGGTACATCGAGGAGTCATTGCTCGAGTGGTGGGACATGGCTTGGCCGGAGGGGCCTTGCAGGGCAATGGGCATGCTCATCTGCAGAGAGGAGGACTTTTCTCGATTCGGCTTTGTCTTGCTGTAGCACTTCAGGGAAAACTTCAAGTCATTGACCATTTCCTCGCATATGGAATCCTGGAAGAGCAAGGTAACAACAACAAAGAGGGGATATTGGATATATTTGATAGAGTCATTTGCTGGTCTGAAACCAAAGAAACTTACACAGGTCTGCATCATTTTCCGGGAGTCACAGAGAAACTCGCAGATGGCAACCAGGAAGGCGAGACTGAGGCCGCCGATGAGCACCACGAAGACGCCACCAACATTGTCAATCTTGAGGGCGGTCACAGTGGAGGAGGTCTTCTTGGAGTCCTCCAGACACTGGCCGCCGCCCTTCTTCTGCTTCCACCACTTGTCTTTCAGCAGGTGCAGTCTGCCTGACTCCTGCAGGCTGAGAATGGCTTGAGAGAGCAGGTGGCGGTACTTCGAGTCGATCGGACCTTAAGCAGGATGAAAGCAGTGGGGAAAGTGTGTAATGCAAGTAAAGCCCCTCAAGTGGTGGTGGTACTTACTCTTTCTCAGAGCAATGCCGTAGCCTTTGGTGTCCAGCAGTCCGCCGATTTGCGTTAGATTGCAGTTCCGCTCGACAATGTACTCAATGCTGGCACCCTCCATCAGGTATGCGTAACCGCCCTGCTCTACACGCTTTTTACCTTGGTCATTTTTGCTCATAAACACATGAGGGCGGCTTTGCATAAACTTCCACATTTCTGCAAACACCTTTATCTTTGTCTCCTTGAAAAAGTTCTCTGTTGAGCCTGATTTAAGGCAGCCATACTCGATGTTTGTTTGGCGAGACAGCTCTTCCGCAGAGTTGATCGGGTAAATGACTTTCTCTACGGTAAGAAAGGCAGCCAGGTTGGCAGTGTACGAGCCTGAAACGATGCAAAAGTTGTCACTATCTTTCACTAAGTTCAACACAACTTACTGATCATAATCAACGTGAAAAAATACCAAATAGCGGCCACGGCCCTTGTAGACATTGCTCTGCAAATAATAGGTAATTTTGTTGGAAGTTAGCCTGTCAATTGAGCAGCATTGAATTACGTACTTAGGCGTCAGTTCCGAGCCTTGCTGCATCATTGAGCCAATTGTAAAAAAGAAACTATTAGTTAGGCTAAAGTTGTTCTCCAGAACATCATCGTCCTGTTGACATGGGTTTGGATTCTCCCATTCATAGGGCGACATTCTTCCCACTATAAAAAGTATTGTGCTGACGACAATGTAGGCAGACAGGAGAGAAATCCACACCAGGCCGGTGAATGGCGAGAGGAAACTGAAAAGTGTAGTCACTTTGGTGGTAGGCTTCTTGAAGAGGATGGATATTCCAGTGTTCCTAAAAGGCAAGCAATACATGATCTTTGTTACCACAAATAGCGTTTTACAAGAGTTACACGTTTAGAAGCAAGCACATTTTCCTACTCAAACACATCAATAAGTCGAAATAATCTCAAATGTAATTACTCACATAAAAGGCAAGGTGAAGTCCACTGCTTCGGCACGTTTTAGTGTGATTGTCAAGTCGACCACGGCAATGTCGGCGACCTTGTTGATGACTTCGCCTAAAAAACAATGTACTGATTAATTTTAAGGAAAACTATGTTGCTTGTTAGATGTAGTTTTGTTTGTTTATCTCCAATTACAAAAAAAATACAAATTTGACTTGAGATTTATTAGAATTCTGCCCACTTCGCATAATATCGTCAGGCGGTCATTTATTTAGAGCGTTTTCCCTTTTAAAATTTCTACAAATTGTCAACGACAAAAATTATTGTCCGGAACAAATGTTCACTCTCTTGTTAGGCGATTCCTACTATTTCAAAACCACAAATAATGATGAAATATGTCGCATGAAAAAGCTATCAACTTCAAAAACCAAAGCCGCCCATTTGGCTCTCTCAAATTGCACCATTCATTTTTTAACTTTTTCCCCATCTTCTGATCGAATATTAATATTCATAAAAACAGCAACATAGAGTTGTTGTTTCTGCTTCACTACTTTTGAAGATACGCTTTGGGATTCGATTTCCACTTTGCCAGCTTTATGTGTTTTATCTGCCTTCATATCGAAATCATTAAAGTTGAATTTAGCAATCGTTCGTGTATCGTCTTTTTCCCTTTTTCTGAAAATCAAAAGGGAAAAGTCCGAAATCAGCCAATAAACTAAAAATGTATCAAATAAAAAAGCAGACCAGCAAAAAGTTTAATGATCTAAACAATTGGCAATAGCAACATTTGCAGTTGCAATTTAAAAAGTTTAACTAAAAATATCTGTTTTTGTAACACTTTCTTTAGTTACAAAAATTTTGAACATTTTTAGTTTTACTTTTTTAAAACATTAAAACATAGAAAATTTTTATTTGATATCGTTTTTTAATATTAACAAATCCTTTTTTGTTAAGCATTTTTTTGCGCGCAAACAAAATGAGCTATAAATTGCTTTGGTTCAAATTTTTGTTTGACCAAATGATGTTGCCTAATGTTGTATTAAATTGCAATTTTTTAAAATTTTAATCAAAAACGAAAACTCAGATAGTACTGCAAAATATTCTAAGCAAAATTTTGGGTTTTTAAACAAAAAAAATTGTCTTACATTAAGAATAAATGCTCGGATTTTTGGCACTAATGATTTTGGCTGTTTCTCAGCCTGAACATTTTATTCCTATTTGCTCATGTGAATTCGTTGATGAAGCTAATAACTATTATCATTTGTCTGGTGCCTAAATTATTTCTTAAAAGGTTGGTGCCAATCGATGTTTCTGTTTTAGATGTAACTTGTTTAATTGTTTACATGTTTGCACATAGATTGCTAATGAATGAATTCAGCTAAAAGTGCGTCAGTTCCATTTACTTTCTTTGCCTCAATAGTTTGCCATTCTACAGTCCCAGAGGAACAGGTCAGCTCAAGTGCATTGTGCACTGTGACAACATACAATATTCTAAAATATTCTAAACATATTCAAAAGTAAATGAAACCTACACACATACAAAAAGCACAATTAATAGTGGGTTTTAATATGGCCAGTGCGCCTACTTTTGACTTTTCTCTTTTTTCCATTTTTTCATCTGCATTAAGCAAAAGTGTCTGGTGCGAGGTGATGCTTGAATAAACAAAAGCACTGCATTAGTTTTTTTGTTCTGTACCTAAGCAGTTAAGCAGCTGTTTCAAATTAAGAATTTTTTCCCAATTGCCAACTGTCAAAATAAATTTGCAAAAAATAATGCTTAATTAGAGGAATAAATTTGAGCATCAAAGCAAATAAAATTCCACTTACTGGAACTGTTTCTAGTTTTTAATGTCAATTTTAATTTTACTTTACTAAAATTCAATAAAAACAGCTTCAAGCTGACGCATAAAGCTAACTTTTAAACAGAGATAAAAAAGTTTTGGCAGCAAAAATGATTAAAGTTATAATGTAAATTACTGTCACAATGGACTCAAAGTTTTTGAGTAGACAAACATTATATATTTTTTGTCAATTTAAACTCAACTCAATAAACATTCCAATATATGAAATAATTGTGGTCATAAAATTAAATTAGCTTTTGATGTTTTAAATTGTCATTCTTACAATCGCAACTCTTTTTGTTATTTTATTTTACCAATTTGAAAAAAAACATTAAGGAGAAACAACCTTTCCAATCCATTTGTTAAAACAAAAAAAATTATTTTTTTAGCTTTGACATCTACGAGTTAAATGTTTTCAACAGTCTAAATTGCCTTGATTTTTTTCCTTCCGGTTTCAAGCTTGGCTGAAGCTAACTTTGATTACATTGACTAATTGTCAATGCACAACAGAGATCGTTTTAAGCAATTGAAGCATTTCAGCAATTACAAGTGTAAACGTTGGCACAAAGCTGAGGGCCTGACAAAAACAGACAAGAATTGCTGATTGAAATCTGATGAAGGGACAAAAATTGTCAGACTTTTTTCTAATTGAATTTACGAAATTAAATCGACCATCACTAAATGGGTAGTGGTATTGAGGAACATGTCAGAGTTTAGTGAACTGAAAACTGGTGATCATAGCCTTTGTGCAGTCGCTATAAGTAAATGTAGCTAAAGAATATAGTGTATGTATAGTGAATCTACTGTCAATACAAACCAATGAGTCCATTCCACGTGCCGTTCTCATTAACTGAGCCGTATTTGCCATCATCCACTAGCTTGAAGACGTATTTAAAGCCAAGCAGCTCTGACAGCTCTCCGATGAGGTCAATGACAAAGCCCTCGAATCGATCATTGCCGTACTTGGTCTCCGACGTATCCCTGAGCATGCAGTACGGATCATTGAGGTAAGTTGTCACAATCAGTGTTTTATTCTGCAGTGTCGCTGTGGAGAAGATGGACGACCATTCTTCGCTGATGTTCAGTCTTTCCTCCATATTAGCCCCGTTGGCGTTCCAGTAGCCGATCTGAAGGTGCAAGGAAAAGAAGACAATGTGCCTATTATTAGATTCCAAGTTATGAA